TAACTGAAAGTCGAGTGATTGAGACCTCAATGATACCTGCACAAGCCCTTCACCTTTGCCACATGGCACAACCTGCCCATGGGAAGGATCTGTCCATCATAGTAACAGGTGCCACCCCCATTCATGCGGAAGAAATCACCCAGGCACATACACTAGATGGCAAGGATCTTAGGGACCATTGTAGAATCCTGCCTACCACACCGATGCAAATGAAGTTATTTTTCAACTCTTAGAAAATCTGTATTGAGGATCTGGTATGTTGCAGACACTGGTCCAGGAACTAAAGATGCAGAGAAACAGGATGGCCATGCCGGGGTTTGCAAGCTAGTGGGGGAGACAGATGTCGATAGATCATTCCTGAGTGGATTGTGTCAAGTGCAATGATGAAGAAGAGTCTTGAGAGAGACATGGAAGCCCTGACCTGACCTAGCCTGGTGATCAGGGAAGACTTCCTGGAGGAAATGACACATACTAGAACGTCAGAGATGAGTAAGAGTTGTCAGTAAGAAGGCGGAGGGTGGGGGAAAGTCCAGACAGGGGCATCCCAAGGCCCTGGATTATCACACCCCAAGGGCTCAGGGTGGGAGAAGCAGACCACATTCAGGTGTCCAGCACTGCAGAGCACCATCGACTCAGGCGGAGAGCCCAACCACTGACTGGTCATGTCCGTGTGGACCTCCAAAGGGCTCGTCGAGTGACAGTGGGAAGAGAACTCCAGTTTCTGGTTTTTACCACTGAGAAGATGGCAGGGCCCTTTCCTGAGATGGGGCAGGAAGAGCGCAGGTGTAGATAGAAGACACTGAGCCCTGCTGTGACTATGTTGGCCTGAGGTGCCTGTGCGACACCTGGTGGAGACATCTCAGCCAACTGGACACATGAGACACGGAAACATCTGCAGCTCGGAAGGGAGGTCCAGGCAAATTGAGGACTGTAGAAGAGAATTCTCTGAAGGCCACATTCGTTACTGCAATCTATTACACCTGAATGCAGAGCTTCCCTCTGCAGAGCCCAGGAATTCAGGAAAACTTCCCAAGCTTGTCTTGACCTCTATAAGAAAAACTCATTACCAAAACGGAAGGTGATAACTAAGAATGTTTCAAGAAAATACGTCCCAGATAGACGTAGGCCATCTTTTACTGCATCCAATGCATGTCTGTCTTCTGCAGTGCTCCGTGTCTGGTGTTTGTAATTCACCATTGAATCACAAAGTGCAGCTAGTATCTTTTAGTGACATATAATCTAAGGACATAAGGATGGTTATTAGACATGATAGCCAGAATTTATTTCATGCTTACTGTATATAGAACCATAAACAAATCATTTACATGAACTCTCTCTTATAATTCAACAGTAAAAACAGAAGCCAGGCCGGGCATTGTGGCTCATGCCTGTAATCCCAGCACTTTGGGAGGCTGAGCTGGGTGAATCACGAGGTCAGGAGTTTGAGACCAGCCTGACCAACTTGGTGAAACCCCATCTCTACTAAAAATACAAAAAAATTAGCTTGGTGTCACGGCAGGTGCCTGTAATCCCAGCTACTAGGGAGGCTGAGGCAGAAGAATCCCTTGAACCTGGGAGGTGGAGGTTGCACTGAGCCGAGATTGAGGCACTGGACTGCAGCCCAGGCAACAGAATGAGACTCCATTTCAAAAAAAAAAAAGAAAACAGAAGCCAGCACAATTATTGTTCTAGATTTAAATGAGGGAACTAAAGATTATTAGAGAAGTTAATCAACTTGCCCAGGACATGGACCTAAGTGTCAGAGCCACATGAAAGCAGCAGGCTCCAGGGCCCACTCCTTTAGGCTTTATATTGTCCAAACCAGAACTCAAATTTCAGGTTCTAGCTCTGAAAGGGTTAGCTCAGTCATCCAGAAAACTTTTCCAAAATGCCTTGTTCATCACATTTTCTATGTTGTTATTTTATTGTACAAAGTTCTAACAACCATACACGGAAAGATCGTGTAAAACAGATCACAAAACCCATGTAGGAAGAGCCAACTGCGAGTTTACATGGGGCAGTAAAAGCCCCTTGACCGGCTGGTGTGGTGCCTCACGCCGGTAATCCCAGCACTCTGGGAGGCCAAGGCGGGCGGATCACCTAAGGTCGGGAGTTCGAGATCAACCTGACAAACATGGAGAAATCCCGTCTCTACTAAAAATATAAAATAAGCTGGGCATGGTGGCACATGCCTGTAATCGCAACTACTCAGGAAGCTGAGGCAGGAGAATCTCTTGAACCCGGGAGGTGGAGTTTGCGGTGAGCTAAGATCATGCCATTCTACTCCAGCCTGGGTAACAAGAGCAAAACTGTGATTCAAAAAAAAAACGCCTTGATTGGCTATGACACAGGCATGCTCTGCTCATGGGAATAATGAATTAATGCAAGGAATCACCAAACTTTACAGCGGCCAAGAAGCATCTTAAATGTTGCATTTTAACTTAAATCATGTAAATATGTATTTATCCCCCAATCACTCTCTAATCACATGACTTAGGATCACTTCTTTAAGTTTTGGGTGAAAAGATTGGTGTTCTGTGCCATGTTTTACTCCATGAACTGTATTTATCGTGTAGCATCTGCATTTTTCAACTGGTGTTTAGTAAGACAAGTAAGACAGAATGTGACCGTTTACCAACAATCCGCTTGCAAATTGGGACATAGCCACAAGCCACATTCTTCTCAGTGGTCCTGACTTTTATACATTCTGAAAAGAATGTATAAAATATTCTAATTTTCCATGGTCAGGAAGGGACATTGCAAGTGATTGTGTTGTTGCCACTGTGAATTCTTATTGTTGCTTTCTGCAATTAAGCCAAAGTGTTGATAAAGAAAAACTTGCTGTGGGGGTGAGGTGGGGGGTTGGGGAACGTTGTATCTTTTCAACAATCACATGAGTCCTGGCTGCCATATCTGTAACAAAAAGACAGATTAACAAGAGAAAAGCATAACAAATGTGTTTATCAAGCGTAGGTGACCCTTCCTTCCTTCCCTCCTTCCTTCCTTCCTTCCTTCCTTCCTTCTTCTTTTTTATCCTTCCTTTTTTCTTCCCTTCTCCGTTCCCTCCTTCTTTCCTTTCTTCATTTTTCTTCCCTTTTTCCTTTCTTTCTTGCTTCCCTCCTTCCTTCCTGTTATTCTTCCCTCACCCATTTCTTTCTCTTCAATTTCTTTGTAACTTACCTCTAAGGAAGCCTTTCCAAAGCAGTCCCTTTAATCATCATAAAAGCAGCTTTCTCTTGCACTTGAATTTCATTGCTTTACATAATGAATTAACTTACAATATTACCCATGACAAGTACAATTGTCACAAACAGGTTGGAAACAAACACAACCAAGTCCTCTTCAGCAGTCACTCAGCTGGCTGGTGCTGTGCTGGCCTCCTCAAGAAGCTGGCCAGCAGGAGTGTTCCGTGTAGTGAACGCCAACCAGGGGCTTTGATTTATGGAAGAGAATGAGAGTGTTGGCTTAGCAGGGGTGTCTGCTAGAATTAAAATCCTGAGGAAAGGTTCACTCTGCCCTTGGTTGGTGTTCAGGAGAAGCCCTGGTGGCACTGAACCAGATTGTGGATTTTGTAGACATTGCCCTCACCTGATACAGGCTTGTTCTCAAGGGATTTCTTAATCCAGGGTCTATCACTTATGTGCGTTACCTTTTCTAGACCTTCCCCTGTCAGCAAGACTTACCAAAAATAGATTACCAAGATTTTTTATTTTCATATGGTGACTGTCCAACCCAAGTTTGTTCTCACCAGAGCTCTTGGTTTCGTTATGCAGACTTAGGAGAGTCAAGGTGGCAATTATGAGACCCCCATTCAACTCCAAAACTATGTACTGAGCAGGTGCACTTCTGTTAAAGCAGTAGAAGGCTCATGGATGACCCCGGGAGCTCACGAGGGATTTGTATGGCTTGAATTTCAATTCCTCCATCAGAGTGGCTGCCATCCATGTGGACACTGAGACCAGTGAGGAGCAAAGCAAGCGCTCTGATGCCTTCCTCACTGGCACCTGTGACACCATGGCGTCTTCTGTGGCTTGGCCATCTCACCCCATTCACCTCTCCAACCTGCAGAAAGAAGAACAAGAGGAGTGGAACGTGCCTTCAGTCTCACTCCCAAATCATGCTTAATGTTGCTGCCATCATGTTCTGCTTTCTTAGCTGGTTTACAGAGGAGAGTTTGCCTTACATGGATATTGTGAATCTTTAATGCAATAATCTCTATTCATAAACAATATTTCCATACCTCTCCTGAGCCCAAAGTACTGCCATTACAAAGCTCCTGGGGTGAGGGAGAGTGGGGTCTCTGATGGCCGAGGTAGTTCATCCTCGTGCTTCTCAAATTCAGGATCCGAAAGGTTCATCCCTAGTACGTTCAAAGCCAAAAACTGCAGTAGAAATAGGACTGATCCAAGTTAATTTTCCAGGTATCCAGAGGCAGGGAGCCACCCGAGGTTTAAATGGGTTGGGAAGGCTCCCCAGGAAAACAGGGACTAGAACTGCCATTATGCCTAGAGCTACACAGAACCACAGACTTTAAGGTTAAGTGTTTAGGTACTATCTCTGAGTTCCGGAGGCCGGAAGTCCAAAATCAAGGTGTCTGCAGGGCTGCTTCTCTCTGAGAGCTTTGAGAAAAGCATCTTTTCTCCTTGGCTTGTAGACCCTCTTCCCCCTGTGTCTTCACATCATCTTCCCTCTGTACATGTCTGTCTCTGTGTCCAAATTGGCCCTTTTTATAAGGACACTATAGTACTGGATTAGGGACCACCCTAACAAATTCATTTCAAATGGATTACCTCTGCAATGACCCTACCTCCAATTACAGTGTCATTCTGAGGTCCTGGGGCTTAGGACTTCAAGTATGCATTTGGGGGACACAGTGGAACCCACAATACTGATCCTCGAAGAGCTGAACAGCGAGCGTGGAGTGGGATCGTGTTGGGAAGCGTGGGCCCGCGTGCCCGAGTCGAGGCCCCACCTTGTGACTAAACGAACGGCTCTTCCAGTTCCAGGTCCTCCTGCGGGCGTGAAGGCAGCGGCGGCCTCAGCCTCCATGGTCTTTGTGTCCTGGCTTCCCCCTCTCAAGCTGAACGGCGTCATCCGAAAGTACACTGTATTCTGCTCCCACCCCTATCCCACAGTAAGTTGGTAAATAACCAAGTGCCTTTCAAGCGTCTGCCAGGGACGATCTGCAGGTGCTCGAGTTGGCCAGTCTCATTCCTTTGTTTCCCACCTACTTGGGTCTTTCCGGTGGTTTTGTTTTGCCCATGCAGTGTCCACATACAAAGCAAAGTCCTCATTTGAAAATATGCTCCTGAAGCCTTACGAGGGGGCCAATTGTCTGGGATTACTGTTTATTTGGTGAGTTCCCACTAAACTGCCAGCAGCCTGACCGAAATCAAAACCTGGAGGCCTTAATTGTCCCTTAATTGATAGTCAGCCCACAGCACCTATTGATTTTACTGTTGGACTCATCATGGCATGCACTTCACGCCTTGCCTCCCACCCCATCCCTCCCTTCTTTCCCTCCTCCATCTCACACTGGGGAAAAAAAAGCAGGCAAAACCCTATTGTGCTAGAAATGAGGCACTTTAATGGAGAGCTATTACCCTTACAGTTACAGCAATCAGCCTGGTTCGTTGTGAAGAACTAAAAGTTATTTACTATTTCAAAGTTTGGTTTTTGTTATCGTTCATATTATTATTGATGAACAATCATTACAAATTAGACTACTTCTGAGAAAGAGGGAAATCGTTTTAAAAAGGAAACATTAAAATGACCCACCAGAATGGATGGCGTCTTCATAGAAACATGACAACATTTTCTGCAGCAGGTGCTGTGTCTCTTCCATCTTCGTATCTCCAGCTCCCAGCATGGAACTTGACACATGCAGTCATTCACTAAGTGTTTGTGGAGTGAATACACAAACTGGTTTTGTTTCTTTCGAGGTAAAATACACATGCCATACAATGTACCGTCTTAACACTTTGATGACCCAGTTGAGCAGTGTTAAATTCACACTGCTGTGCAAACACCACCGCCACCCATCGACAGAACTCTAGAAAACCGAAACTCTGCCCCATTAATTCTAATTAATTCCCCTCCTCCCTCCCGCCAACCCCTGGCACCCACCGTTCTGCTTTCTGTCTCTGGATTTGACACCTCTGGAGACCTCATACATGTGGAATGACACAGCATTTGTCCTTTAGTGACTGGCTCATTTCACGTGAATAGTATCCTCAACGTTCATCCATGTTGGAGTATGCGATGGAATCTCCTTCCTTTTCAGGCTGAAAAATATTCGCAAACAAATTTATGAATTAATCTTTTAATCAAAGTGATATGTTTCCCAAGCCCAGAGTTCACAGGGGCCCCTGAGGCCTGGTGTGCTCCGACAGTGAGTGTGAGCGAGAGGGCGTGTGGGCTTGCCTGGCTCATGCAGGTCCATCTGACTGCTGAAAAATCAAGGTGTGTGCTCTGCTGCTTATGCATTGGCAGTAGCACCTCCGTCTTTGAAGTCAATATGTAAATGTAAAATGGTGAGAGTTGGCCAGGTGCGGCGGCTCATGCCTGTAATCCCAGGACTTTGGGAGGCCGAGGCGGGCAGATCGTGAGGTCAGGAGTTCGAGACCACCCTGGCCAACATGGTAAAACCCCATCTCTACTAAAGATACAAAAAAAATAGCTGGGCATGGTGGTGTGCTCCTGTAATCCCAGCTACTCGGGAGGCTGAGGCAGGAGAATCGCTTGAGTATGGAAGGTGGAGGTTGCAGTGAGCCAAGATCACGCCATTGCACTCCACCCTGGGCAACAGGGCAAGACTGTCTCAAAAAGAAAAGGGTGAGCGTTAAGCTCCATAATGTTTTTATGGGCACCTTATGTGGTTTTAAATATCCTGTTAATTCTCACTTGCTGAATTGGACCATCAAAGCCCAGAGATGTAGAGCAGCCTAGACACACACACACACACAAAAAAAAAGCTAAGCCCTTGTGCCCTCTACTCAGAGTGGAAATTCTTCGAGGAACTCCCTGCCCAGTGTGGCTTCTGATTTTCTCCTTAGCACTGACATGTCCCCATATTCACCAGAGAGAGACAAAAATTATTGCCAAGGTAAAGCGTGCTCATTTTCCACGGGAACTTGAATCTCATCTTTATTTGTATCCACTCATTCATTATCTCTTTGCTATGGGATTCATGTTTGCTATTTTGACTCTAACAGGCTAGAAGGCGCCTAGCAAGGTGCAGAGAACACCAGCAGCTTCCTCTCGTTTTGTGTTTTCAATTGAATCTTTATCTCTAAACTAAAAATCCCCACCTGGCTTATTGGAAATGAGTCCTCAGTGACTGATGCTTACTGAGAAAGCCCCCATTTGCGGACGGTACAGGCCGCACCTGGCTCTGTCCTCCACCCTAAGAATTACATACAATGAAAAAGAGAGGAAAACCATCCTGTTCTGAAAACCAAGTCAGACAGGTGTTAGACGGGCAGAAACACGTTTCTCGGCGATTTTTCCTGTTTCTCCACACACAAAACAAAGGGATCTGACCTGCCCAGGACCTTAACGACACACTATCAAAAGGGACAGTAATGAGGGCCAGGCGCAGTGGCTCACGCCTGTAATCCCAGCACTTTGGGAAGCCAAGCCTGGAGGATCACTTGAGGCTGGGAGTTGGAGACCAGCCTGGCCAACATGGTGAAACTCCATCTCTACCAAAACTACAAATATTAGCCAGGCATGGTGGCACACACCTGTAATCCCAGGTACTTGGGAGGAGGCTGCAGCAGGAGAATCTCTTGAAACCAGTAGGCAGAGGTGGCAGTGAGTCAAGATGGCACCACTGCACTCCAGCCTGGGCAACAGAGCAAGACTCTGTCTCCAAAAACAGGGCCAGTCATGAGAGCAAATGAACCAGAAAAGGTGGGAAATAACAGCTGAGACACTTTATCAGAGTATCTGTGTGTTATATTATATCTATATATCTATAATATATATAGATCTATATATATAATATATAATATATAGATATCTATATAGATATATATTATATCTATATTATAAAGCCTAAGACATAGAAATATGATAGTTGCAGACGCCTGTGTTCTTCCAGCAATAATACCTACAAGTGTTATGACGAGGTCCCAGAACCCCAGAGCATCCTCCACAAAGTGACGGTAACTCAGAGCACTCCTTTTCCATCTCCATAGCCTCATTCCTGTCTGTCCATCTCAACCATCGTTTAAGACCACGGAGCCTATTTTTTACGTCAAAAAATACCATTAAGAGTTAAGGAGAGAGACAATTATTTCTCTTCAGAGGTGAATACTTGTAAATGTTATCTGTCATTCTGCTTTTAATATGAAATTATCAAAAGCTTTAAGTTACAGGAAAGAGGATGGAAGTTTGTTTTTTTTAATCATTAGTTTCTGCAATTTAATTTTAAGTCCGTAAACTGGATGCTGTCTTCTCATTTCTGGCTATGTGTCAGAATGAACACCAGAGGGCAGTATGAGCTCTAGATATTTTCCTTGTTCATAAATCTGAATTTTTTTTATCTTTGAAATGATTTCATAGTTGAATGTAGAACATGGGGGGATAAATCAGGACACAATATGCCCTGTATTTTAATCCTTTTTATAAGAGTCCCTCGGCTAATCTCCTCGCTGATGTCAGTTTCCTCCCTAGATCCCAAATTCATCTCCCTTTCTTGGGAAAGGATCTTGTTAAAATAGGCTTTTTTTCTCTAATATGTGACACATAATGTCTAATCATAGGCATTTATTTCATGGTACTCTCTCTCTGTTTATCTTAGAGAAAGATATTAGAATTGGAAACATGGCATGTGGTCAGATTACAAGTTAGAGTAACTGAGAATGACCTACAAACAGGTTGTCTAAAGATGGGGCTGACTGACCATGAACCTTGCCACAGGGGTCCCGCAGTGCAATGAGATATTAAACTCCTCAGTCAGAGATTCAAACCGCAAAATCTCAAAAGGCATTTGATCCAGAGCCTCACCCACACAATTTGTGGATTCTGGCTATTAATTTTAATATATAATAGTTTGAATGATCCAACAATCTTATAAGCAATGAAAATCCAAAGCCATGAGATAACCCTTTTGAGGTCCCAGGAAGAAAACAGCTTCATTTCCTCCCTGATGTCCCTGTCTACATAAAAGCTGTCTGAAAAATCTTACATACAGACTGCTCTTACTACATACACAGTGAATAAGCATTGTGATAGGGAAGTTGTCTATTTCACAATGCTAATCTCATTTACAGAGCTCTTAGAAATGTAAAATGAGGACCAGGCGCGGTACCTCAAGCCTGTAATCACAGCACTTTGGGAGGCCGAGGCGGGTGGATCACGAGGTCAAGAGATCGAGACCATCCTGGTCAACATGGTGAAACCCCTCTCTACTAAAGATACAAAATATTAGCTGGGCATGGTGGCGCGTGCCTATAATCCCAGCTACTCAGGAGGCTGAGGCAGGAGAATTTCCTGAACCCAGGAAGCGGAGGTTGCGGTGAGCCAAGATTGTGCCATTGCACTCCAGCCTGGGTAACAAGAGTGAAACTCCGTCTCAAAAAAAAAAAAAAGAAAAGAAAGAAATGTAAAATGAGGAAGCACAGACTTCACATGAATGAAAACTAAAACTCTGAAGGCATAAAATATTGTATCTCTGAGCCGTGATTCACAGGGGTTATACCAGCTTCAGATGATAATGCTACTCAGTTCCTGACATAGAGGTGCTCAATAAATGTTGCTGAGTGAGCCAGTGAAAATACACCAGTACTCTTCTTATCTAGAAGACATGGGCAGTTAAACTCCCCACGGTGTAGCCCACAACTTAGAATTAAACAAGTCTTCTGGGAGGCAAAATAACTCACCAGGTCCAGACAGCTTTCTACCCCAGGCAACAGGTGTGCATTTGCCTCCCAGCCAGCCACAGACTTCGTCAAATAAAGCCACCGTCAGGCTGAGGGTGAAAGGGGACTTCTGAGGACCAGAATTGTGCAGGAATCTCAAGGAGTGGAAAAGTGGCATAGCATGGAATCTGGAAAGCAGCATCTAACGTGCTCATCTGTATTTACAATGATACTCATTGCAGTGTTCATTTTTCCTCTCTCAGATGGA